TTTAGGGTTAGGTTTAGGGTTAGGTTTAGGGTTAGGTTTAGGGTTAGGTTTAGGGTACTGAGTGCTTGGGAATGCGTGATTTTGCCCTCCGCGATTATGTCATCGCGGTAGGGTCGCGTTTTTCCTTAGCGCTTAGAACGGCACGAATTAGTCTTCACGCTTATGTCTCCGCAGATAAGGGCTTCGCGGATTTGTGGTGGAACCGAATTGTAGAAGTGGATCAGAAAGAGGCAGCGTACAACAATCTCTACCTCATTGTGCATTGTGAGCAGGTACACACAAGGCTAGATTACAAAGCACAATAGATCCTTCACAGTCTCATGAACAAATGTCCCTCAAGCTTCCATTCCATCTAGTAAAATACAGCTGTATGCAAAAGAATGGAAGAGACAGCAGTTGCCGATTCTGGCCAGAATAAGAGAAATTTCTAACCCCGATGTTCCGTTTGGAGCAGCTGCATAAAGCTTTCATTTCATTTTAGCCTTTCTTTGCCTGCTTCCTCTTTTCAATAGCTCCTCCAGAGAAGATCAAATTGTGATTCAAGGATTTCTAAATTGCTACGAGAAAGGGAATGAAGAGAAAGGGAAACAAGGAAGGCCCAGCTGCAAACACTCCACTATATTATGCATCGGCATTATGAATATTAATTTTCAGGGAGTAACAATGCATCTGTCAAACACTACCAGAGAAAAGACATTTGCAGTTATTTTGCCATTTTCTTTTATAACAACTCTCCCTCTTTGCACAAAGAGGGAAGAACAGCAGCAGGAAAAAGCCAGAATAGTCACTAAGAGAAGATAATGATGTTAAAATCGTACTAACAAAATTGGATTGCGCAATTAAAAGCCATCTCTTGGAAACATGCCAAGTGTCTTACAACACCCAATAAATACCGTATTTTTGGGGAGGTCTGCAGAGTGCAAAAACCTTTTTTTTTAAAAAAATTGCCTCTTCAAAATCTTGGTGTATCTTATACTCCGGTGCCTCTTATACTTCAAAAAATATGGTACCCACGAAGTGTAGAGAAGCAAAGAGTTGGGTCAAAACAGAAGCTGTCACGAAGGAACATTTCAAACTCCTCTTCAAATTCCAAACTCACCAGTGAAGTTTCCGCTGATCGCGTATGGAATTACGCCATCTGGCCACACCCTCTCGGGGCGGGAAGTGGCAGCCCGCCGACTCCGAGGCCGTCCCCAGCCCTGTTTCCATCGTCTCCTCTGCTGCCTTCTAGGTCTGATGCTGGTGCTGTTTGCGTCTTTCCCTGTGATGATAATAATAATAAAAATAATTTATTTGTCAGTGCACAACATATGTACAATGAGGTTGGTTGAGCCCCCTCATTGATACAATAAGTGAGGACGCTTTCTATTGTGGACTGGTAAAAGGGGCTCATCAGTTGTTGTTCCACCTTGTCTGTGTGCAAGACCCTAAGGAAATGAGACAACAATCTAAATCAGGGGTGTCCAACACAAGGCCCATGGGCCGAATCCAGCCTGCGGGAAATATAAGGGGCCAGCCTGCGTCGCTTCGGCCCAGTCTACCCAATGTGAAGATGAAACATGGGGCCAGCGTGGCTTCGGCCAGGTCTACCCAGTGCGAAGAGAAAACATGCCAGCAGTTTGGGGAGTGTTGTTAAGCTGGCCACGCCCACCCAGTTGGCTACACCCATCTAGTCAGTCATGCCCCCCTCCTTTGAGATCAACCACACCCCTTATGCAGCCCTCAATGAAATTGAGTTTGACATCCCTGATTTGTGAGCACCGCTTCTTCCCCAGGTCACAACCTGTTGCATGAACCCTTTGCATAACCACAAGTATACCATTACATCTGAACACAATTTTTTTATATTGTCCATTCTTATATAAATCCCTCAACCCAGAACAGCTATTTGCTCTTCTGCTTTCAATACACCATATTATACCCTATTTCACCGCCGTCCTATCTCCTCTCCCTCTCTCCTCCTCCCTACCTCCTTTGTTCCCTCCGCCATCCCTCTCTTCTCTACTTCCCCTTCCTCTCTCCTTCTCCTCTCTCCTCTTTCCACTCCTTCTTTTTCTCCTACATCTCCTCTCCCTTCTACTTCCCTCTCTCCTGTCTCCTCTCTTTTGCCTTACCTCTACTTTTCCTTTCCACTCTCCCTAATTAATTTACGTGGTGTATTTCAGCATCTGAGCACACTTCATTTAATATTTGCTGATATTGATAATTACATCCCAATAAACATCTTTCATGTTTATAATTTGGCACACATCCTCATTTTAGTGGTATGCATATTTCAAAATTCGATTCTTTGATCCCTTGATTTGTGAGCACCATGTCAACTTGTAAAGTTGCCCTTCTTCTCCACGGCATAACCTGTTGCACGAACCCAAATCTGCTAAAGATACATTTGTGTTGATCTTCCAAAGGTCATTGGATGATCAACTTGTGCTGGTGAGGTTTAGAAAGCAGGGCCTTCTTCCTAAGTCCAAACTTCAATACACTGGATCTCATCATTCTTTTACTCTCTATTGAAACTAGAAATTCCAGTTGCCTCTTGAAAAAGCACTTTTGGGACATCTTGAGTGAACTGACACCGCTTGCTAGAGAGATGTGCCCTGAGGATGGACTCCAGCACAAATACCAAAACTTGGAAGATTAAACTTCTGGTCCCAATGACCCACCCAGATTGAATTCTTCTTGCAATTTATTTATTTAATGCCAACTTGTCTACAACTCTGGTTGGGCTTACACAGGTTTAAGAAAATCAGTTAAGGCTCTTCCTTGTGTCTCCTTCCCTTTAAAATCCCATGATCTTTTTTTTTAACCAAATGGGTGAAATTATCCTGCCTCTTATATTGTCTCTTGTCTCTTGTTTTCCGCTAGTCCTACAGACTAAGAGATTCTCAAGAGCTTGTAAAATATTCTGAACCCTCCTGTATCATGGGCATGTCAATCCACTGCAGCCTCCTGAAACAGACAATTGAGCCAGCTACTGCCAAGGGATTTCACTTTCTCTGTCACCCTTGTGCCAAATTGAAATGGTTTCTAAGATAGACAGTAAATTGGATGGCTTAGGCTAGGCAGATTGGTTAACCCCCAACTTGCACAAATCATAATTGGCTTATTTAATCAAAGATACAGTTAAGAGTTTTGTTCTACAGGCTCAAAACCAGTTTAAAAGAATTTAAGTATTTGTTCTGGGATGCGGTGGCTCAGTGGCTAAGACGCTGAACTTGTCGATCAGAAAGGTCGGCAGTTCGAATCCCTAGTGCCGCGTAATGGAGTGAGCTCCCGTTACGTTTCCCAGCTTCTGTCAACCTAGCAGTTCAAAAGCATGTAAAAAATGCAAGTAGAAAAATAGGAACCACCTTTGGTGGGAAGGGAACAGCATTCCGTACACCTTTGGTGTTTAGTCATGCCGTCCACATGACCACAGAGACGTCTTCGGACAGTGCTGGCTCTTTGGCTTTGAAACACAAATGAGCACCGCCCCCTAGAGTCGGGAATGTCTAGCGCATATGTGCGAGGAGAACCTTTACCTTTACTTCTGATAGTAAGGTTTGGAAAACCAGAAGGTGGGAGATAGATTTGAATTGGTTGTCTGGATATAACTGAAATGAGAAGACCTGTCTGCTCTTATGAAATTAGCAAATACAGGTAGTCCCTTACGACCACAACCGAGCCCAAATGAGATATTTGTTAAAGAGAGTTTTGCTTCATTTTATGACCTTTCTTGCCTCAGTTGTCAAGTGAATCACTGCAGTCGGTAAGTTACTAGCCCAGTTGTTAAGTGAATCTGCTTTCCCCACTGACTTTGCATATCGGAAGGACAAAAAAAGGGATCATATGACCTTTGGGACATAGCAATGGTCATAAGTATGAACCAGTTGCCAAGCACTAAATTTTGATCACATGATCTCGGGGATTCCTCAAAGGTCATAACAGTGAAAAAGGGTCATAAGTCACTTTTTTCATTGCCACTGTAACTTTGAAGAGTCAACTAGTAGCCTCATTTAAGGGGATCTCCTGGGGGAGGAGAACTGAGAGGTCATCCTGCAAGACCAGGCTGAGAAATCATCTCACTTTTTATCTTTTAGGTCACAGAGGGTCCTCGAACTTCCAACAGTTTGTTTAGGGACTGTTTGAAGTTGCAGTGGCTCTGAAAAATGGGTCTTACGACCATTTTTCACATGATGGTTGCAGGCTCCCCAGGATCATGCAACCAAAAGTCAGATGCTTGGGGATTGGTCCATGGGGTAGCCAGGAGTCAACAAGGACCCCAAAGTGCCCATACCGGATTATAAGACGTACCTGACTATAAGACGCACCTAAATTTAGAAAAGGAAAAAAACAACAACAATGGCTTTTGAACCCTGTGAGCCTCATTTTCAGCCCTTTTAGTGGCCTTTTTTCAGCCCCTTTCCAGCCTTTTTTCTCCATATTTTGAAGCCTTTTTTTGCTTATTTTGAGGGCTTTTTTGGCTCATTTGGGGGGCTTTTTTCAGCCTGTTTTGCGGGCTTTTCTTGACCCATACCATATTTTTTGAATGACAAAATGTACCTGACTATAATATGCACCTAAATTTAGAAGAGGAAAAAAACAACAAAAACGGTTTTTGACATCTCTGCGCCTCATTTTCGACCCTTTTTGTGGCCTTTTTCGGCCCTTTTCCAGCCTTTTTTCTACCCATTTTCGAGCCTTTGTTGGCCCTTTTTTGAGGCTTTTCTTGGCCCATTTTCGAGACTTTGGTTGGCCCATTTTCAAGGCTTTTTTTCAGCCCATATTTTATGCTTTTGGGGCCCATTTTCTTTTGAGAAAAACGGCCCCAAAAAAGCCTTGAAAATGGGCCAAAAAAACCCTCAAAAACAGACCAAGACCAAGAAAAGCCTCCAAATCCCCCCCCCAAAAAAAGGCTTGAAAAAGGGGCGTGCAGAGGCCAAAAAATGGCCGGTGGGTCATTATATACCATATTTTTCAGTCTATAAGACACACAAACATTTTCACCCCCTTTTGGGAGACAAAAAAGTGCATCATATAGTCAAAAAAATAGGGTATATATTTTTCTTGCTGACATTACTCTACAGTTGAGCAAATGTCAATGGCAGGGAGATTTCTTGAGTCCGGGGAAAAATCCTTCACATAATTGTCCTAAATTCTACTTTAAAAAACCCCACAGCCGCTCACTTGTCCCTCCTCAAAGATGGTCGGTATCTTTGCTACTTTTGTCTTTTTTTTCCTGGTGACCCAGGATCCTGCCAATGTTATCAGTGGACGTGTGCCAGAGTGACTGCGCCCCGCTTTCAAATCTCAGCAGGAACAGCAGCTGAGCTAACAGTAGTATGGCAAATGTCTGATTTTCTGTTCACAGCAACATGATGGATGCAACACTCTGCTTTCACACTCTGTTTGTTGTTCCTGCAGTGACTTTTCCCATCTCTTTCGTCATCTTTGGTTCAGCTCACGGGGAAGGCCTTCTCTGCAAAAGGTAGTCCTCAACATACGACCCCAATTGACTCCAACATGTCTGTTGTTAAGTGAAACATTTATGAAGTGAGCTTTGCCCCCGGTTTTTGAGCTTTCTTGCCACAGTTATTAAGTGAATCGCTGCAGTTGATAAGTTAGTAGCCTGGTTGTTAAGTGAATCTGGCTTCCCTCATCAGAAGGTCCAGACGATTTTGGGATACAGCAACGGTCATAAATATGAACCAATTGCCAAGCGTCTGAATTTGATCATGGGGACACTGAGAATGTTGTAACTGTGAAAAACAATCACAAGTTCAGTGTTGTTGTAACTTTGAACGATCTCTAAACGAACTGTTGTAAGTCGAGGATTTACATTGAAGGGTAAGGATGATTTAGAAGTGCCTTATCCAAATCTATTATATCTCCCTAGGAGCTTTGCATTCTTCTAGAAAAAAGTTTTCAGTCCTTTTTATTATATGAAGACTGAGGCAGCTATAATCCCTGCTTACAAAAAGCTAAACAAGTCCAAAGTTATCTAAAGGCAGAGAAACAAAGGTGCTTTTTCAAGAGGCAAACTGTTCTGACCGAGGCTTCCCAAGAGCATGAACAAAACTCCTGGTACCCACAAAACCCCTTTTATTAATTTACTATGAATTCTGCTCCTTCACATCCAGCAGTCTTTCAAGGGAGGATTTACAATCACAGACCTTATCTGGCTTGGAGAGCTGCCATGCCGATCTCTGCAAAACTTGGCAAGGAGTCGGAGAGTCATGAACCAATGAAGCGAACTAATTGTCTCCTGCAAACTCCACTCCCCTTTCGCTTCTCTTTTATTTCCTCTGAGAAGGGCCATTCATTGTCCACCTGTGGCTTTACTCCCAAGTTCTCCCCTGTTCTTTAGCTGTTCCCTTCACCTGGCAACTCTGCACATGTGCACACTGGGAACAGGCTCCAGCTGTTCTTCTGCCTCACTGATGTCTGACTCCGAAGGCAGCTGATAACTGGCAAATGGTCCTGGCCTCCTCTCTGCCTCCAACACAGAGCCTTCATCAGAGCCTTCCCCAGACTCCAGGACTGGGCCATGTTCCTCCCCAACCTCCTCACTGTCCAAATTTGCTGCCAGCTCCGGTGGCCGCTGGCGGGCCACAACAATGGCAATCCACAAAAGGGGTCTTTAATTGGGCAGCCTGAATGTGGCAAACAGAATACGGGAGACAAACAGTGTCACAATGGTGAAGAGGTGGGACCCTTGTGGCTGACTATGTTCGCCCTTTCTTAAGGAGGTAACACATTTGTCTTTTTGGTGTTGCTTGCCAATAACTGAGGCAGATGGACTGGACCATCTCTGTCCAGTATGAACCAAGAAAAGGTACCTTCTCTGCAGGTGCTGTAGATGTTGAAAAAAAGCTGATACTTTAATAAAATAGTTGGTCCCGGCTCTGTTCAATATTGAATTCGACATTAAATTTTAGGAGATGGAAAAACTGATTGTCTAGGACAAGGGTGTCAAACTTGATTTCATTGAGGGCCACATCAGGGTTGTGTTTGACCTTGGGGGGGGGGGCATGGCCAGGGTGAATGTGGCCAGCCCAATGTCACTCACTTGTGTCAGGGGCGCCTATAGTGGCCCGAGTGCTCTGCCAGCAAAAACGGCGCTTGTGTGGCCCTCCCAAACTCCATTTTCACTGGCCGACAGCTGCAAGAGGCGGTTGCAGCCTAAAAGTGAGCTTGGGAGGGCTGCGCGTAGCTCTGTTTTCACTGGCAGAGGCACCACGGGCCAGTTTATAAGAATACACCTCAAGTATTCTGACCTAGGCTTCACCAAATCACGAAACAGACTCCTTGTCCCCAAAAAACCCCTTTTTATTTGGCTGATATTAATTCCTATTTATTCGCTATGGGAGGGGCCATTCAGCATCCCTTGTGTCTTTACTCCCTAGTTGACTGCTGTTCCTTAATTGCTCCCTTCTCCTGACAGTTCTGCGCATGCGCACATCAGGAACAGGCTCCACCTGTTCTTCTGCCCCACTTATCTCCGACTCTGAAGGTAGCTGATAACTGTCGGACCGCCCTGGCTCTATCTCTGCCACCGACAGAGAGCCCTCATCAGAGCCTTCCCCAGACTCCAGGACTGGCCCATGTTCCTCCCCAACTTCCTCACTGTCTGAGTCTGCCGCCAGGTCCACTGGCCGCTGGTGGGCACAGCACCACAGGCCAGATCTAAGCATCCCCCAGGCCAGATCCAGCCCACGGGCTTTCAGTTTGACATCCCTAGTCTAGAAGTACCATAAACAAACTCCTAATACAAACACTAGCGTAGTCCTACATATTTTAATTGGGTAGCCATTCCACAATGTTCAGCAACTGTTTTAAATTATTAAGTCCGGGACTGAAGTCTTAATAATGCAAGTTGTGGTTGGCAGCGAAGAATAAATGTAAAAGTTAATTATATCGACAACTCAATTAAAGGGATTTATGGATGGTGAGAGAGGCAAATGTTAACATAACTTCATTTCTACTGGCAAAGCAAACAGCCTGTAGATCTACTGTACACAGACTTGGTTTTAAAATTAATAGATGCTATTAAGATTAACAGATTAGCAGAGTTGGAAGGGACCTGGTAGGTCTTCTAGTCCAAACTCCCACCCAAGCAGGAAACCCTACATCATTTCTGACAGATGGCAGTCCAGTCTCTTCTTGAAAGCCTCCAGGGATGAAGCTCCCACAAAGTGACAACAGCGTTGAAAAATGTGACTTATGACTGGTTTTCACACTTACGAACTGACTCGTATTTATGATGGTTGCAGTGTCCCGGGGTCATGTGATCTTCTTTTGCGACCTTTTGACAATCAAGGTCAATGGGGAAGCCAGATTCCCTTAACAGCCATGTTGCTCACTTAACAACTGCAGTGATTCACTTAACAACTGCGGCAAGAAAGGTCGTAAAACGGGGCAAAACTCACTTAACAAATGTCTCACCTAACAACAGAAAATTTGGGCTCAATTTTGCTCATGACTCAAGGACTACCTGTATCTCCATCTCTAACATTGGGAAGGTGAGCAGCCCGACCTGAAGTATTCGTAGCAGTTCTTTCAATTTTATGCCGGGTGAGGTCCACAATTCTGTCCACCTGGAACATCTTCAGGTCTTCTTCATCCAAGGCGATATCTCCTATAAAGGCAGCTGGAAAACAGAAGGAGAAAAAGGGACTTACATTTTCAAGCTGAATGGATTTAGAGAGCAGTCTTTTTTAAAAAATTAGTCTTATTTTTAGACACAAATAATACAAACAGTATATATACAACTGAATACAAAAAAAGAAAGACAAAAGAAAAAGGGAAAAAACATATTACAGTACAC